CGAATAGAAGCCGGCAAGTCCAAGTCTCTGGAGGAAACGGGCTGGAGGCAACCTTAGCTTCCGTAAGCTCAGGGAGCCAAGAAATTCAAGGCTGGCAGGCAGTACACTAGTTGTTGACTCCAACAAAAGACAAATCCAAGATCTCCAGGCCCAGCGGTGGTCTGCTCACTCACGGAAGTTTGTAGTCCGCACACCAGGGTTCCAATCCCTCAAAGAATGTGGCTCTTCCCAGGATGTCCCTGGATATCTTGGAAGCAGGCCACACCCCTAGGGAAACTCCCCTTGGGCAGACTGGCCACTCAGAACACAGTCATCTGGTCCCATCATGGGAACAACCACACAGAACTGGGGTCCAGCCAAGTTGACACACAGCTCCAACTATCACAACATCCTACTTTTGGAAGTAGCAATTGGGGTTTTAAAGCTTTCAAGCAGCCGTCTAAGATGCAACTATCAGTCTCCCCTGGTTTGGAGCAAAGAAGAGTGAAAAAACTCTGTCATATGGAAACAATTAGTTTAAGCGTCTGATGGACCATTGGAACCTCAGCCTTCACAGCCCTGAAAGCAGAACTTGATGGTGCCCAGCTACCAAGGTCAAATACTTGGAAAGGGATCAAAATTGGAGATCTTGGATAGAGTTGGAGGAAAAATGTGGAACAAAATTCAAAAACAAAAATGATCAGAATTACTGGTCAGACAGAGATAGGTGGGACCCCCAAGACTATAGTGCCATGTTATCCTTCAGGCCTGGAACTTGACTCACTTTGGTGGATTAGCTCTTAGTCAAGCAGTAGAAAGGCCTACAAACAAAACACTTTACCCTTAGGAGCTCTGTAGCATAGTACCTAAGGCACTTGACTGCTAACCAGAAGGCTGGTGGTTCAAACTCATCAACCATTCCTCGGAAGGAAGGTTGGGCAATCTACTTCTGTAGTGATACCACCTCAGAAACCCAAGGTGGGGTTGCTATGAGTTGGGTCTGACTTGACGGCACATAACACACACAGGAGATATACCCCTCAGATTAATCAACTGTGAGAGATCAGTAGTTCAGCATTTGTACAGAGGAAAAGCTGGACAGAAAGGAATGAGTAGATAAGAAGGACACAGGGAAGGGGAAGTCACAGGTAAGAGATGAAAGGAGAACTTTTTATTGTTGGAATTGTAATTGGGCTGTGAAGCCAATTGTGCATGAACTGTTGAGAGTAAAATGAATTTGCTTTGTAAATTTGCACCCAACTCACAATAAAAATTTTTTAAAAAAAAAAGCCTTTACCATTTTTTTAAAGTACTTTGATCACAAATTCTACTTACCACATGAGCTCACATCCTTCAACTTCTTTGACCAAAAAATCAGTCCTATGTAAGATCTTCACAGAATTGAAAAATGAACTGGAGGGTCACCTCCAGAAAAAGCAACACACACTTGCGATTACAGCATAGACTAGGAAACCAAAGCAAGTTTATTAATTCATAAGAAACATAAAGCATTATTACATGTTTGTTTTCTAAGGTTGCCAATATAAGCTTTTCAAAGTGTTTAAAGTAAGTAAAGCCAATCATATCACTAGACGTTATATTTCCTACTATTTATCACCTTTAACAATATTTTCAACTGATATCAATTATATATGTACATACATAGTTACATTATATGTAAATTATCTATAGTCATTTGACAAGTAGTTGGATCATATTAATGCTAAACTTTATAATTTAAGATTCTTTATGGTGAAACTAATAAGGCCTTAAGTTTAATTATTTTAGGGGAATGTCTTCTCAAGAAATAGTAAGCAGGGTAAAAATATATATATTTTTTATTCTATATATTCTAATATATACTTTGTATACATTAGATCTGGAAGGGATTTTGGGTAATCTCCTGGATCAGCCAAATCCATAAGACAAATAAAGAATTAGTATCACTTTTTAGTTCAAATAATGTGTCCTATTGGTGCTAACTGATTCACCAAAGGCTACATGTCTATTAAGTTTAACCCTTTATTAAAAAAAAAAGAAAGAAAGAAAGAAAAATTCTAGGCACAAAGATGTCAAATTGATTATATATGCAATCATAACATAGTCAATTGCAAGAAAATACAGTGATAGACAACATTCCAGGATCCACTGTGCTTATTTATCAAGATAAGTTAAATTTGTGTAATAAACTTTTAGCTTCTTGGCTTCAATCTTAATTAGTTAATCATAGTCTTTGCTCTCAGAAAAAAAAAAAACATATGAACAACAATATAAATAAATTACTACATGAGGTAAGTTAAATGCATCCAGTTCAGTACAAAATGTTTATTATATTCAGAGTCATATTTATAAAAGGAAAAGAAAAATATAAATCAGCAAAATATAATTCAAAGAAAGCTGTTATATTTGTATGTAGAGCATTTTGTGTTTGACATTTTTATATTTAACTCTAAAGTGCTAACCCAGAGGGCTCTCTAAAGGGTTTGACTCTCAGACAGAAGACAAACACCTTCTATGAATGTGTTCCCCAGACATAAGATGGCTCCATATGTCTTTGAACAGACAAGGCACTTAAACATTTTCTATGGGAGTGCTTGACTATAGTATTTGGGGCTGATGGAGATACAGCTAGCCCATAATGCAAAGTGCAAACATATTTGACAGAAGGAAACATGGGTCACATCAAAATATTAGCTTGCCAGAGTGTGGAAGTGGGAGAGAGTGGAGGGGCTTCCAGATGAATTGGACGATCTTGCTGTGCACCTGATGTTTTCTAGATGAGAAAGATCTTCAAGGGGATTTGGCAGTGATATAGTTAGAAATATATTCTGTGTTTAACATACTAGGCAAAAAAGCAACCACCACTGTCTGATGGGAATATGACCCATCTCAAACTTGATGCATCCATCAGACAGAAGACAGTATAGTTGTTTAGGTAAAATTAAAATGTCTCATTTAAAATTTTCTGCTTTACAATATGCTTATCCAAAAGAAATCTGGGAAAATCGTACAACTAGGTGCAGGATTAGATGTGTTAAACAATATCTTATCCAGTAGAACATATCACCTACCAGGAGTTACTACAATTAATTACAGTTATTTCTGATTAGGCTTAGAACAGTCTGGAGGACCTTTTCTCTAGAGGGGCTGGCATCAACCACATGACAGCTGGGGTTCTCCATCCGCTGGTAGGACATTTCTACCCTGGAGAACAAGCAGAAAGAAAAGAATTGACTTCCTTTGTACTTTGTTCCTATTTATGCTCATAATATTTTCCTACCATAATAGAAACAGCTTGAAGAAAGATCCCATCTGATTCATCACAGTGCTCCACTCAGCAGTTAGCTTTGCCCAAGAAAACATTTGATATATTTTGTTAAATGAGTAAATTAATAATAATGCTTAATGGCTAGTATTTATTAAATGGAGATTATTTGCCAAGCATTAGCACTTTGTATGATACCTCTCATTCAATACAGAGAGCAACCTTAAGAAGTCAACTATTATTGTAATTCCCATTATGTAGAAGAAGAGGCAGAGTCTCAGAAAGTTTAAATAATTTGCTCAAGGAGCAAGTCCAACCATTATCTCTTCCCCAACTATGCACTAAACAATTTTCATACTAGTTGAAGGCAATTAATATATATGTTATTTTCACTTATAGCTATTCTGAAAACTCATCAGAATTCCACATCTCCTTTTAATGTTACTGGGAGCTCTAGTGGCATAGTGCCTCTGGCATTTGACTGCTAACCAGAAAGCTGGAGGTTCAAACCCACCAGCCACTCCTCAGAAAGAAGATTGGGCAATGTAGCTCTGTAGTGATACTGCCTTGGAAACTCAAGGAGGGGTCACTAGGAGTTGGATCCAACTCGACAGCAGTGAGTTTTTTTTTGTTTTTTTTTTTTTTAATGTTACTTAGCCTTGATGAAATAAGATTTGATTAATGCCTTATTTTATAATGGAAATAATATGACTAAAAGAGGACCTACAGATGTAGACCCCCTGACTTCAAAACTTTGCTTTAGAACTTACTAGCTAGATGAGAAATTTGCTTTTTTTTTTTTTTTTACCCTTCTGGGCCTTGATTTTTTTCATTTGCAAATGAGGATTGAAATTGTGTCTTAATGGCATGTTTACAATGAGTTTTAACTGAATTAATGTAAATAAATTGCTTAACATGGTATCTTTATACACAATAAAATTATGATTTTTAATACTTACATTCTCTGTCCTTTGTTCAGCAGATCTGATAGCACAATATCTAAGCCATTTGACTGCTAACCAGAAGGCTAGTTAGTGGTTCAAACCCACCAGCCACTGCTTGAAAGGAAGAATGGGCAATCTACTTTCTAGCTCTGTAGTGATACTGCCTCAGAAACCCAAGGAGGGGTCAGTTCATTTATATATTACCTAAATCGTACTGTAGAACAAATTCATACTCAGCCACAAAGCAGTAAGACTTCCCAGACTTTTTTACTGCTATTGTGCTACAGGGAGCTCTGGTAGCATAGTACCTAAGGCACTTGACTGCTAACCAGAACGCTGGCGGTTCAAACCCACCAGCCACTCCTCAGAAGAAAGATGAGGCAATCTACTTCCATAGTGATACTGCCTCGGAAACCCAAAGAGGGGTCACTATGAGTCAGGCCCAGCTCTATGGTACATAAAAACAACATTGTGTTACAAAGATTTCTAATAAAAAGCTTTGCTTTAAAAATCAGAAAGATCTTGATTTAATTCTAGTTTTACTACTTAATAGCTGTATGAATTTAGACAAACTATTTAATCCTCTGAGTCCCAGTTTTGTGAACTGTAAAATATGGGTAATGTTTTCTTTTCAAGGATGTAAAGATTACAGAACATCACCAGTAAAATGTTTGACACATAGCAAGTACCTAAATGGGTGAAAGTTACTATGAGTTTGTTATACATGACTCAGTGCCCACTTTTTTACAATTGAGGAAGTTGAAATTAAGAGACATTTAGTGTTTTACCTATTTAGTGCACATTATGGTCTAGAACAAGATCTAATTCCCAGTAAAATATCTTCTCACTTAAAAATAAGAAGGCTCTAACCTTTTGGTAACAATTCCCTTTGACAAAGCTGAAACAATTTTGGAGGACAGTACCCACCATCCATTCCTCAATAGAAATACTGGCAATCCAAGTAGGGGTCACTGTGAGTCAGGATCAACTTGACAGCAATGAGGTTTTTTTTTTTTTTTTTTTTTTTTTGGACCTTTAGCATAGGAAAAATGGGAACACCATCATTTTCTCACCACTCCTAAAGCCAGGGCTGGTCCTGGCCTCCTACTATATCCACAGACACCCTGCTGCACACATTGCATCGTGGACACATACTTTTGACGAAATACGTTGTTGGCCTCAAGTTCAGCTTCTTCTCTGGTCTTCTTCATCCCCCGACCTGCAATCCTCTGCACTCTCTCTTCAGGACTCACAGTGAGCAGCAGGACAAGGTCTGGCTTGAGCAGGTCTTTTGGCCACTGGTATATGTGGTGATGGGCTGGGGGCAGATGCTGAAGACCACCACTTATCTCAGTGGCTAGGGCATAAGTGGCTGTGCTGTGCCAGTACCTGGAATGAGCAGAAAAGGAAGAGTGAGTACTCCACCCCCAGAAAACATCAAGTAGGACTGAATGTCAGTTGCTGATGACATTGAAACAAGGCTGGCTCTGCTGAAGCTTTCCTAGCATATAACAAGGGGAAAAAAAAAAAAATCAAATCTACTGACTTTAAGTCAGTTCCAACTCATAGCAACCTTTTAGCACAGAATAGAACTTCCTCATTGGGTTTCCAAGGATTTAAATCTTTACCAAAGCAGACTGCCTCATCTTTCTCCTATGAAGAGGCTGATGGGTTAAACCATCATCATTTTGGTTAGCAGCCAAATGCTTTAACTACTATACCACCGGAGCTCTCTTCCTGTCATATACATAAATTAAAAACAAGAACAATACTGATATATTGGGTTTTATCACAAAGCTACATTTATCCAATTAAAATTACCATGTATTGTGAAATTATGCCTTCACACTTTTTTGGCCTTGCAACATGCTTTCCTCAATCAAATGATAGAAGATGATGGATTTGTTTGGTAGTTCATTTGTTTTTAATGTTCTATCTCGGTCATAGGAAAATCTGGAAAGTTCATATCAGTTCCTAAATTGTTTTAAATTGAATTTGCCAGTGAAATTCAAATTTCGGGAGTCATGGGCTAGAAGGCTTCTTCATCCTTTGATTATGTCTTGGTGTTGGGTAGGAAGACCTTGGTATGAAGTTCATCATGAAAGTCCTTCTCCCTAAGAATATCATTTACTCTTTTGATTGCTATTTTTAAAGATAGCTTTTGGGGAAGAAAAATAAAATCATAAAAACATGAAAATAAAATCAGTCTTCTATTTTAAAATGCCCAATGGCTCTAAACTGCCTTTAAGAAAACATGCAATCTCCTTGATAAGACTCAGAACAGCACTCACAATCTGTACTCAGGCATACTTTTTCTTCTATCTAGAGTAATGTTCTCAGCCAGAGAAATTCTTATTCACCTTTCAGACTCTAATTTATATGAAGTCCCCGAACAGAATTACTTCCTCTTCTGTACTCTCAAATTCAATTACATATGACTATATTTAAGAACTTTTCATAGTATATTAGAGCCAATAGTTTATGACCTTGATTTTTTTTTTTTTCCTCCTCTACTATATAATTAAATCCTTGTGCAGGAAAAAGTTTGTAGTCATCTATGTGTTCCATAAGGAGCTCTGGTGGTATAGTGGATAAGGCATTTGGCTATTAATCACAAGGTCATCTGTTCAAACCCACCAGCTGCTCCACAAGAGGAAGATGAGGCAATCTACTTCTGTATAGATTTACAGCTGTGGAAATCCAGTGGGGGTTGCTATGAGTTGGAACTGATTTGATGCCAGTGGGCATGTATCCCATAATAGGTATGCAATAAACTCTCTTTGGATTCATGAATGAATGAGAGAAGAAATGAATGAACAAATTAATGAATGACTGAGAGCTATTTTATTTAGCAGTACAGCTTATTATACTCTTGCCCTATTAATGTCTTATTCCAAGTTTAAGTGGCTAGACATAAACTCAAAATCCAAAAGTGAAGGACTATTATTACCTACAATAAATTTTTACGATATAATTATAATTATCTCAGTGTTCAGATATCTCCATGGTCTCAATTTGTCTGTATTTTCAATTTATCAACTTTCTATTCCTTGAAATCCTAAGTTCGTAATCATTTCACACTTGAACTAGTTTTCACATTGAAGAAAACATACTAATAAATATACTGTGTAATTCAAGCTCAGTATTGTTTTTAGGAGAGTGGCATTCCATATCACAGGCAGTGTGTATGGTACAGAAAGAGAAGTGAGTTGGATTCTACTTCTGGCACCTCTTTGCTTTGTAGCTATAGTGAAGTCAATTAAGCCAAAATAGTCTCAATTTTTTTTTATCTGGAGATTGGAAATCATTAAAGCTTTATTTTCCTTCCATACTTGCTGCAAGGATAGAGAAGTGCTTTAAAACACATCATTATAATGTATTATATCATTCTTTTTGGACATATGTTATAACTAAAGGTGAACTGTGTCAAATTATAATAACACAAGACTGACAATACTGAAAAGGACAAAAGTGAAAATTAAACTAGTTTGGGAGTTGATCTATCCTAATATCAACCATCCTTAAAAGCCCTTATCCACCTCCAAAAGTCTTATCTGAGAGCTTCAGGCCACTATAGCTGCTTGCTTCTTTGAATTCTCCCTGGACACATGCCTATGCTCACTTATCTCACTCCTATTCCTTACTAACCTATACTTTTCACTTCCATATCAGAGGTCTCTTGTCTCCCAAGCTCTGTAACTGCATCCAAGGTCCAGGCTTTTTGTTTTTCTTGGTACCCAAACTACAAATTGCACCGAGCTCTGCACATGTTCAATTTTCACTGAATTAAATACTCAGCTATAAGTACAGAGGCTGATACTGTCTTAATTTTAAATGTATTATTATTATTATTTTAGAAAAAAATACTAGTAAGAATAGATTTTTTTTAAAACTCAGTGAAGTGATTAAGTTGCCAACCTTGAACACAGTCACTGTAAAAGATTACTGTCTCCCTTAATTTTCAGGCAGATGATGATGCTGTCTAAAATGAATTTCATTAAAATCTTTAAACATGAACAAAAACCACCCAGACAACAAACTGCTCATTTCTTTTCATCTGACAAGGTGATACTGTATCTCTTTAAAGAACTAAATTGTAGGCAATTCACAGACACAAAGAAGAAAAATCAAAGGAAGAATTAGGGTCCTATTTTCTATGGTTAGAATTCTCTCACTGACAACACTGCTGCTCATTTTATATAATCATACCCTTTGGCCATCACTATCTGTCTCTTTTCACTATTTAGTATTCTCCAATCCTGCCATCAGTGAAACCACATTAGTTCAAATCAAATGCAATTTACGGACATATTATACACAGCTTACTTAATAATGCTTAATATTTTAATAGTCATTTGCTCTTTTCAGAGCACTTTCACATGTATCAATTCACTTGCCATTCATTGTAAGTCTTCATAGTAGGCAGGGAAGGGATTATGGATATTCCGATTTAAAAGATTAGGAAACAGAGAGAGAGAGAGAGGATAAGTAAGCTGATTGCATTCAGAGGGTAATGTTGGCATCAATATATATGGACATGTTAAAAACTAAGGTGCTTCATAAAGTCGCTGTATGAGGAGAGTTTTAGTCTTTCTTCTTGAAATAAAAAGCACTGTATCAAAATAAATAAATAAATAAATAAGGTCTCAAACATAGTAGCCTGTCACACTTTAAAAATAGGGCAAAAACTTTACCCATGAAAAGATGTCCCACGAAGGAAGGTGATTTCTTCTCTTCTCAGAAGTTCACTCTAGAATTCTTTATAACTTGTAAACTTTGAAAAATGCACTATCTTGCCATTCCTGTTGTCATCCTGAAGTCAAAACTACATCTATATCTTGTTGTTGTTGTTGTTGTTGTTGTTGTTAGGTGGCGTTGAGTAGTTTTTGACTCATAGCGACCCCATGCACAGCAGAATGAAACACCTCCCAATCCTGCGCCAGCTCCATGATCCTTGCTATACTTGAGCCCGTTGTCGCAGCCACCATGTCAATCCATCTTGTCAAAGGTCTTCCCCTCTTTCATCGACCCTCCAACTTACCAAGCATGACACCCTTCTTCAGGGAATGGTCCCCTCTGACAACATGACCAAAGTAGGTGAGAAAAAGTCTGGCCATTCTCACTTCCAAGGCGCGTCTCGGCTGCACTTCCTCCAGGACAGATCTGTTAGTTCTTTTAGCAGTCCAGGGTACCTTCAGCATTCTTCACCAGCACCACAACTCAAAAGCATCAACTCTTCTTTGGTCTTCCTTATTCATTGTCCAGCTCTCACATGCATACAAAGCGATTGGAAATATCATGGCTTGTGTCAGGTGCATCTTAGTCATCAAGGAGACATCCTTGCTCCTCAGCACTTGAAACAGTTCCATCCCAGCCGACCTGCCCAGTGCTACACGCCATCTAATGTCCTGACTGTTGCTTCCATTGGGGTCGATTGTACTACCAAGCAACATGGATTCTTCGACAACAATCTTCTCTCCATTTATCGTGATGCTGCTTATTGGTCCAGTTATGAGGATGTTTTTTTTTTTTCTTTATATTGAGATGTTATCCATACTGCAGACTGTGTTCTTCAATCTTCATCATTTAAGTGCCTCAAGTCATCCTCACTTTCAGCAAGCAAAGTTGTATTATCAGCATATCTCAGATTCTTAATGATTCTTCCTCCAATCCTGACACCACATTTTTCTTCATATAGTCAGCTTCTTGGATTATTTGCTCAGCATATAGATTGAATAAGTATGGGAAAAGAATACAACCCTGACACACTCCTTTCTTGATATTAAACCATGTAGTGTCCCCTTGTTCCATTAAAATGACAGCCTCCTGGTCAATGTACAGGTTCCTCATGAGTACAATCAAGTGTTCGGGAGTTCCCATTCTTCTCAATGTTATCCATAATTTGTCATGATCCACACAATCAAATGCCTTTACATAGTCAATAAAACACAAGTAAACATCTTTCTGGTATTCTTTGTTTTGAGCCAAGGTCCGTCTAACAGCAGCTATGATATCCCTTGTTCCATGTCCTCTTCTGAATCCAGCTTGCACCTCTGTCAATATACTGCTGCAACTGTTTTTTGAATTATTTTCAGTAAGCTCTTATTGCGTGCAATTAATGATTGTTGTTGTTGTTGCTATGTGCTGTCGAGTCGGCCCTGACGCATAGCAACCCCTCCTTGGGTTTCCGAGGCAGTATCACTATGGAAGTAGATTGCCCCATCTTCCTTCCAAGGAGTGACTGGTGGGTTTGAACAGCCAGCCTTCTGGTTAGCAGTCAAGTGCCTTAGGCACTATGCTACCAGAGCTCCTTATACTAATGATATTGTTTGATAATTTTCACATTTTGTGGGATCACCTTTCTTTGGAATGGGTACAAATATGTACATCTATAGCTTAGACTACAGCAATAACCTTCTAACTAATATTTTCTTGTTTTCATTCTTTTCCCAACCTCTATCTACATTTTATGCTCAGTGCACAGTCTGAATGATCTCTTTATGGAATCATCCAGATATTCAGTAAAGTATCCAAAGAAAGACAGAATATCAAAAAAGAAGTAGAAATTCGGTTTCCACATATTGCAAGTTTACTTTTAACTGACCAATTTACCCACCCTGATCCAATGAAAATGCTAAATAGTTAAAGACTGACAATATGAAATATTGACAAGGATATGAGTCAAATGGAATCTCAAACACTTCTTGGGGAAGGGATGTAAATTGTTTCAACCACTTTAGAAAACTTTATGCAGTACCGACTAAAGCTAAACATATGTGAATGCCTTAATTTCACAGTTCCACCTTTGGGAATCTATGCAACAGGATTGCATGCATATGTGCACCAAAAATATTTAAAGGATGTTCACAGCAATACAAACTAGTCTCCAAAACATAATGTGGTATGAGGGAAGATAGATGCCCACAACATTTAATGTAATTGCACTTATAAGAAGCTCAAAAACAGGCAAAACTAGTCTATGGTGATAGAAGTTTCAATAGTAATTACCACTGGAGAGAAGGATGGCTAGTGATTAGGAGGTGGGTTTATAGGGTATGGTAAAAGTTCTAATTCTTGATCTGGTTGCAGATTACTTACATGTCTCCACTTCTTGAAATGTCTTGAGATCTATATTTATGATTAATATTCTTTTCTATATATTCATCATACTTCAATACAATTGCTTATTTTTCCAAAAATAATGTATAGAGAAAAACAAAATGAACACTCAAGTAATGTTAAAAAAAATCCAAATCCAACTGAGGCCCATCTGTACTACTTCTTGGTTACATTTCTTTCTCCTTCTCAGAGGACCAAAAAAAAAAAAAAAAAAACCTCACTGCCGACTCAATTCTGACTCATAGCTAGTGACATCCCCCCTTGCTTTTCTGAGGTAGTAAATCTTTACAGAAGTAGATTGTCCAGTCTTCCTTCTGTGGAGTGGCTGGGGGTTTGAACCACCAACCTTCTGGTTAGAAGTAAAATGACTTAGGCACTATGCCACCAGAGCCCCTTTCTGAGAGTACAACACCCTTAAATTTGGTGTTCAACCTGCTTGCATAAGATTTTTCAAATTTTTCAATATTATATACAAAGGCAAAATTAACTTTTGTGTTTCCTCAGCACATGGAAGCAATCTGATACTTTTCTACTTATTCCCAAATTGCTCACTACATGTTGGTACCAGTATCTAGCTCCTACCAGCACTACATGGGGGTTCTATCACTTGATATCATCTCCAACTCTGGGTATTATAAAATATTTCATCAGTTTTTCCAACATGATGGGAACAAAATAGACTCTCATTGTGGTTTTAATTTTTAAGACCCTGATTATTAGTGATTTTAAGTTTAATAATGACTTGTTTGTCATATCTTGTCATATCCATTTTCATAATTTTTAATTATTTATGTGTAAAATTTTCAAAATGTAAATCAATTTATGCCATCCCAATATTTTTAATTCTCCATTGGATTCCTATTGAATTGAGATTAAAATTCACACTTTATCATGCCCTACAGAACCCTACATGACTGTCCCCTGTCTTTCTCTTCTTGTTCATTCAGAATACATCCCCTCATTGTTTGCTATTATTGAAATATGTTGATATTTCTCTGCCTATAGGCCTTTGCCCTTGCTGATTCCTCTATCCACAGTGGTACCCTTTTCCCCTGAGTTTTCACATGTTTTAGATTTCACATGGTGTTTTATTAGTGAGATCAATAGTTTCTTCTCAGAGAGCCTTCTTAAACTATATGGGATTTCAAACATTCTGTACTATGTTGCTTCAAATTACTCTCCTCATATTATTTATCATTCTCTATAATTTTCCTAGCAGAAGGAAGATAATTTTCATATGTGTTTATTTACTTATTTATTATCTTCTTCTTCATTACTATCCTTGCTCCATGGAAACTGAACATTATTGATTTCATTTACAACAGAACATACTGAATTAAGGACAGTCTTTGACATATAGTTAAAAAAAAACAAACAAAAAACTTCACTGCTGTCATGTCATTTCCAACTCATAGCAACCCCTCATTGGGTTTCTGAGGCAGTGTCTCTATGGAAGTAGATTGCCCGATCTTCCTTCCGAGGAGCGGCTGGTGTGTTTGAACCACTAGCCTTCTGGTTAGCAGTTAAGTGCCTTAAACATTATGCCACCAGATCTCCTTAGATGCCCAATAAATGCTGTTGATAAATCAATAAACTAAAATATAGCTTTGTGAAATAAAGAGACTTTGGTTAATTATCCTCAATATGCTATTTCTAACTCAGTCACCCTGGCAAGTTACTTAATTTATTTAAAACTTATATATATATATATTAATCAATAAATTGGGGATATTTATTGTTCACTTAGCAAAGTTACTGTTCTGTAGGAAATGCTCTTAGCAAAATGCCACACAATTTTGTAGGTGCCGTAGTTCCTAAGGCTTTTGACTGCTAACCAGAAGTCTGGTGGTTCTAACCTATCAGCAACTCCTTGGAAGGAAGACTGGGTAATCTACTTCCATAGTGATTCTGCTTTGGAAACCCAAGGAGGGGTTCCTATGAGCCAGATCCAACTAGATGGCAGTGCATTTGGCTTTGGTTTTTAGAAATAAATCACAGACTTTCCATTATCACAATGCAATTTAACTTAGTGAACACAATAGTGCATTGGTGTACATTTGTACATACAAAAATATGCTAGGTATAAAGAAGAAAATATCTAATTCAAGGCATCCTTATACTTACCTGTCTACAATCACAGGAGATTGGGTAGATTCTTTAGCTATTTCAGAAGCCACAATATAATTGCCCAAAGAGTAAAAAGCTCTTCTTATGATAGTTGGTTCATCATCAAAGATTTTCCTCCACTGAGCAACACAAGATGGTGGTGACTTTAAGAGGACAGCCTTCAGTGAATCCGAAACAGACTGGGTCACTGTGGTTTTACCTACAGGTTGTACATAAGATGTCAAATATGTTAGTAATCACCACCATATTAATCCCCATAGCAAATATTAAAAAAATAATAATAATAAATAGAAAGCCACACACACACATACACACTGCCATCAAGTTGATTCCAACTCATAGTAACCCTGCAGGATAGAGTGGAAATTCCTCATAGGGTTTCTAAGGCTGTAAATCTTTAAGGACTGCCTCATCTTTCTCCCACAGAGTGGCCAGTGGGTTTGAACTGCCAACTTCTGGTTAGTAGCTGAATGCCTTAACCATTGCATTACTAGATAATATTAAATTAGAGCATAAAAATTCTTTCAACTAGTTAACTGAGTTAATAATACGATACTTTATAAAATATTGCAGATCCTTAGGAACTTAGGCTTCCTCTATTTGGTATTAAAATACTTTGAAGAAAAACAAAATGGTACTCTTTTTTCAAAGTAGAGATAAACTGTGGTATCTAGAGCTCTAGATCCTCTATTATAAGCTCTGCTTCATCTCATAATTCTCTTTGCTTCTCCATATATTCCTTAAGCTGGACTACATGGATACTACTGTTCTCCAAGATCAACCTTCTCTTTGGGTATCTCATGCTGACCTCACAACAATTATTCCCCCATCTTTACATGTTGGTCCAAATGTAGGCACAACTATTTTATTTTGATATGCATTTGGCAACTCAAAAGGCTTCTTTTATTTTTTCTCTCACTTTCTACCTTTTCTAACTTTTGTTCCAAAAGGGACCTCTGACTGCTTGTAATTTCCAGACACACTACGCTGGTTGCAGTCTCTGTGACTTTGCCCATCCTGTTTCTTCTGACTGGAGGACTCTTCCTGCCTCTCTTCATTTGACTAACTCCTATCCATCAATAAAGCACAATCTAGTATCATCTTTTCACAAGCTATCCCTGTCCACACATGTCATCGGCCACCTCTCCATCACTAAGGCTAGATTAAATATCTTCCTCAATTCTCTCACAGCTCACATCACTTTATACTAAAGTTATTTGTAAGACAGAAAATGCTGTCTTTGTGTCCCTCCGCCTGGCTAGCATTTGTTGTTGTTGTTAAGTGCCTTCAAGTCGGACCCGACTCATAGCGACCCCTCCTTGGGTTTCCAAGGCAGTATCACTACGGAAGTAGATTGCCCCATCTTCCTTCTAAGGAGTGGCTGGTGGGTTTGAATCACCAGCCTTCTGGTTAGCAGCCAAGTGCCGTAGGCACTATGCTACCAGAGCTCCTCCTGCCTAGCATAGCACCTGGCATGTAATAGAGGCTTGCATGAGGCTTATTACATTGAACTTTGTATAATATTTTGTTTTGCAAGACCTGTCTATTTCTGCAACTCATCAGTTCATATAATTGCCTATAACTTAAGATTAATATTCTCTTACCAGTAGCATCCAGTCCTTCTATGGCAATTACTGGGAACTTTCCTTTCTGGAGCTGCTTTGGGCACTGGTCTACTAGGTCAAGCATCACTTGGGCTTCAGGAATAAAGGATGTACACTGTAAAACAACATCGTCTACTCATCAACAATGAAATAATGGGGAATTTCAAAAATCCATGTCTAAATTAGTGAGGGCAAGATTATCTAATGTTAATTAAGGCCTAAGTTATATTTGGCTCCATGCCAGGCATGTGGATCACAGAGTAACTGGAAGCAGAAAGAAGCTGAATTCTTTTATTTTATATTTGTAGCTGTGGCTGAAAAAGGCAACTTCATCTGGATCATGCAGCCTGCAGTCCTCACTGATCAGCCTTCTGTATAAATGGAAAGCCAGACACACATGCATAAATATACAGCAGGTAACTATCGAACTATGTACAAGGTGCTGTTGGGAGCAGTGGTTCATAAATATGAGACATCAGCTATACTACAAGCTCCATAAAACAGTAATCTGCAACTTAGCCTTCCTAAGATGGAGGCTGAGAAAAGTGCCAAGCACTATAGTCACAAAGCCAGCACAGTAGTATCTTCCTAGGAATTAAAAGTTCTTAACTATGTAATACCTCAATGGATACTTACAACATCTCTATAATCATGAGGCCCAGCCATTTATTTATTGATGTGCTTACTCTGGGCCAGGCAATATTCTAAGTGCTTCCCAAGTATCAACTTAGGCAATCACCATGACAACTATAAGAGCTTGGTACTTTTATTATTCACAGTACATAGATTAAGGAAATTGAAGGAAAGATTGTTTAAGAAACTAAATGAATGTGATGTAGCTTATGACACAGTTTACTGCCAGAGTTGATATTCATACCCAGGCAAATGGCCATCTTTTCACCCCCAGAACACTTGTAAAATTTACCTTAGATCCATGCATTCTCAGGAGGTCAAGTCTAGACATACCTAGGTCCTGCCTAAGCTGTGGTCAGAAAGAATTTTAATGTCATTCATTGAGCACTTTCTATGTGCCAGATGCTTCATTAACTATAATTGTCATAACAACACTGCATGACAGATATTTGACAAATGAAAGTGGAAAAAAAAAAAAAAGCAAAATAGTTGAGTAACTTGGCAGTCAGTAAGTAGGTTGGCAGTAAATCTAAGTCTCTTAAACTTCAAACGGCTGCAGGTTAGTCTGCACTATAATGTCCCTTAATGGTGTCCACCAGCAAATGAAATCACTTCCTAAACGCCATTATCTTCACCCATACATAGCCAGCCTCTTTACTACCTGTGTAGTAGGTTCAGAGGGAACTATGGTGGCGTAATGCTTAAGGTATCTGACTGTTAACCAGAAGGCTGGCAGTTCAAATCCACCAGCCACTCGTCGGAAGGAAGATGGAGCAATCTATTTCCGTAGAGATACAGGCTCGGAAACCCAAGGAGGGGTCGCTAGGAGTCAAATCTATTCGAAGGGAGTAAGTTTGATTTGATTAGTACGTTCAGCATACTTGAATAGCAGGTATCACACCCCCTTAGTGTTTGGGTACCTATGTCCCATCTCAGGTTGCAGGTTCCTTGCAGTCAAGAATCTTAAATGCCGCCATAGTGTCTCATGCAGAACCTGGCATATAGTAGGTGCTCACTAACTGGAATAAATAAACTAGCCAAGAAAGATCTATACCCCAACCCCAGGCCAGCATGTTGTTTTGTGTCCTGTTCTCTGGTCTGGCGCATTCAGATACCAAAGTGGGAAGGGGTAGAACTCTTACCGCCTCCAAAACTGCCCGGGCTGCTTCTCGGCTGGGGAAGATCGCGGAGCTAGGCAGGTCTGGCAAAACCGGGTGCAGCGAGGGCTCCTGGGTGGACATCACTAGCGCACAGCCCACCTCCAGCCACTGGCCGTCCTGTAGAGCCCACATCCGCTGCCACAGCTGGCCGTGCGGGTCGGTCTCAAATTCCCCCAGATGCAAGGGCGGGGTCTCCTTGCACGCTCCCAGTAGCTCAGTCAGGGCCCGCCTGGTTTCCAGGCAGTCCCGGGGGTCACGAAGCAGGAAGCCATGCTGCGCGCTCTCAGGCTGGTCTCCGGGGCAGTAGGAGAGCAGCCTCTGCAGCTGGCATTGCCGGAACGGATCGCGACGCAGCTGGTGCAGCAGCCGCTGGTGCAGCTTAGCAGCACGGACCCGGGTCCCATAACCAGCCTCGGGCCCCACCGGCACACAGAGGGAGTAGCTGCGTCCTGGGGAGCCCAGGATCGTGCCCAGGCGGGGATGCTGGCAGGCTCCTTGAGAATTACCAGGGGCGTCAGGGCAAAGAGTGAAGTGAGCCAAAGTACAGTCGGGGAGCTCCAGGGCGAAGCAACGGTCCGGAACCATGGTCCGCGTGCAGGCCCGGCGCCTGTGCCGCAACTGCCGGGAGAGTCGCCTGAGCAGGAGCAGGGCGGACAGGAGGCTGTCAAAGGCCATAGGGCCGCCTCCCCTTATCTCCTCCCTCTGGCCAGGCTTCGGAAACGAAACCTTCTAGTGGGAGGGGAGGAAGACGCTGCCAGGAAATGAAAGCGAAAAGTCTAGCAGGCTGGGGGCTGGGGGCCGAGGCCACTGTTTTTGGGGGTGATCTCGGCGAGCTTTCTCCTCCTCCAGTGTGCCCTGCGCTGTAAACAGTAAGCTTCGAAGGAAATTCTTGATCCCTCGGGGTGTGCGATGGGGCAGGGTGGGGCAGTGGAATCAGCCCGCTGTGCTGGTCTCCCAGGAGCTGACTCCCGAGGCTTTCTCAGCCTTCGGGCTGCGGAGTCCTGCGTTAGGCGGCCGTGAGCCTAGCAGCTTGCCTTGGAATGAGAATCTGAAACCTCTGGCCAGCAGTACCCAGGTTTCTGCATTCTGGGAGGTGCCTAGAGGTGGAAAGTAGCTCCCTGAACGTGTTTTGAATTCTTCCTGTCTAGTGGCTAAGTCACTTGCCTGCTAACCAGACGGCTGGCGGTTCAAACCCACCAGCCACTCCTCGGAAGGAAGGTTGGGCAATCCTACTTCCGTAGTGATACTGCCTCGGAAACCCAAGGAGGGGTCGCTATGAGTCGGGGCCGACTCGACGGCACATAACAACAACAACAGTCTATCTATACTCACTGGTGTGTGTGTGTGTGTGAACGTGTTTTGAATTCTTCCTGTCTATCTATACTCACTGAGGTGTGTGTGTGTGTGTGTGTGTGTGTGTGTGTGTGTGTGTGTCTCAAAGAGAGAGCTCCCTTTAGAGCCGGAAGGTTAGGCTATCTACTTCTGTAGTGATACCGCCTCGGAAACCCAAGGAGGGGTCGTTATGAGTCGGGTCCAACTCGATAGCACTTAATAACAACAACAACCCTTTAGAGTCAGAGGGAGAGAGAGGTATCTCTACCTATCTACCCTTTAGATTCCAGGATCTCATCCGTGTGTGACCACCTTCATCTTCACTGACTCTTCATCTTCTACATTCATTGCAAACTCCTTACTGCATGACTTAATCCTCCAGATCAGTTGACCCCTTCTCTGACTTTAACCATCTACTCAGCATCCATCCCAACCCCCACCCTCAGACACCAAAGGAACTGAACTGCTTTTACTTGTCTAATCAGCAATTCTCTCCCTCATTCACTTTGCACATGATTTTCGTCTTCTTAAAACTGTCTTCTGCCTTTTGCTGACTTTCAAACTGGAAGGTATCAGCCAGACTGACAAGTCTACATTACCTTTCATAAGCCAAATAAGGAGTTTGCAATGAATGTTAAAGTTGAAGAGTCAGTTCCAAATTCTTAGGGAGAGAAGCTAATGGTCCCAGTTTTAAGTGAATATTTAAATTGAATAAAATGTGCCTGTAGTAAGCTACTCTTGTGTGGAGAAGGGTAGCAGGGGGTTGGAAAAACACTTCAAAGTTGTTTAACACAGCATTAATCATAAGAAAAGTCATAGTCTTCAATACTTACAATATCAAGCAAGAAAAAAAAATGCAACTGTTCTAACCATTTCTGCTCATAGGAAAAAAAATGACAAATATAAATGTAATAACTAATAATAAGAAAATACAAAATTATACTAATTATAAAAAGAGTTTGGCTTTTGAAATCCTATTTAAATATATTTCTAGATAGCCTGTTCAAGTGGGGGAAAAATCAGAATTCAGTACACAGGATATTAGGAAAAAAGGATAAAAACCACAGATATAAATGACTAAAAGAGATAATATTACATACAATTCTACATTAATATATTGGAATATAAATGAGTTGGGAAAAAAGAATTAACAAATTATATCCAAGAAATAGGGATGATTCTATAGCCAAATCGCAGGAAACAAGTTGATGAAGGGGCTCAAAAGCCCTGGACACATTTTATAGAGAACTTCTTTACCAAGGAACAGAAAAGTCCTCTGCTATATTAGCCCTGTTGGGTTTTATATTTATTTCTTTTTTTAATAAAAGCTCGTTTGGGGACATTTATGGGTTTCCAATCGTTGCTGTTGTTGCTAGGAGCAGTTGAGTCTATTATGACTCACAATGACCTCAGGTGACAAAGTAGAACTGCTCCCTAAGGTTTTCTAGGCTTTAATCTTTACATGATGAATCAAAGGGCGTTCAATTTTGGAGTTTATTTTCTAATTAAGAAATATAGTTTATTTGGTAACTTGTGAGGAAAGAGTTAATACAACAGATCTAGTTGCTCACTTTTTGCATTCCTCCAAGACACCCTAGAACTATGACAGACCTTTGGCCAGTCACTGGGGATATGGCCGTTGGAGAATTCTTTGTGTTAATTGTTGATGTGTACACCTGGAGCAATGGACTATGCTATATATCACTAATGTCATAATTGCTTTGCATTAACAATATTGATGATGATATGCACCTGATTTAATTGTTGAGCTCATGAGATAAGGTTACTATGGCTTTTTGCAGAGCAGGATATGCCTATGTGTCTACCCACCATAGAATCCCAGGCCCTGAGACTCAAACAATATCTTTCCTAGCCAAAGATATTTCACACATGTTTCTGTAGTTCCTTGATAGAGATAAAACATGGCTGTGCAACCCCAATAGTGAAATATTCAAAATCTTGTGCCTGTGTTCTATGGAATGCTTAAAGAATATGTTTCATTATTGATCTTGTTTTTCATCCTTTTACTATAATAAAACAGAGTATAACCTGTTACTGAGTCTTAAGAGTCTTTTTGCTGAATCATTATTTTTGAGATTCTTACAACACAACCCACTGCACACATATACGAAAACTGAATAAAAGTTTCAAATAACATTAGTCACTTATTTTGAAGTACTTTCATATCCTATGGGAGCTCTGGTAGCAAAGTGCCTATATCATTTCTTTAAACACATACATATACAGCTAAAATTCTGTATTAATAAATGAGTGAAAAGGCAACCTGAAGAGTGAAAGAAAATATTTGCAATGCATATAACTGACAAAGTGCACATATGGACATAACTCCTACAAATCAATAATAAACACACAGCAAACCAAATACAAAAATGAGCAAGGGATTTGAACAGATATTTCACAAAAGAAGATATCCAAAAAGTGCTCAACGTTGTTATCACAGAAGTGAAAAATAAAAACACAAATAAGACCATTGCACATCTACTCAAAAGCAGCAAAAAACAAACCTGTTGCCATTGAATCAATTTCTGCTCATTTATTTTTACCCTATTGTTTTGGTTACCTACTGCTGCTTTAACAGAAATACCACCAAGGGGATGGCTTTAACACAGGAGTGTATTCTCTTACAGTTTCGGAGGATAAATGTCTGAGTGCAAAGTGCCAGGCTCTAAAGGCTTGGTGAAAGCCCCTCGATATTGGCTGTAGTTCTCCCTCTGGCTCCCGGCCCACTGAAACTGGAGGCTTTCTTCACTCAGGCAGCTGTTGGCTGCTGAGGCTGACAAACCCAAGGTCAACAAGTAAAAAGGTACAGTCCCGATATTACCAAACCACATGGCAGACCATTAATTCAAGTCCATTGAAAGCCTCAAGATCTACAGAGCATGGCAGGCTACTACCACATGAAGACTCAGCTATAGTCAAGGCTCAAGGGTGGCAAAAAGCTAGAGACTGTTCCCATGGATTTTCCTTATATACAGAAAGCAGACCACTTCCCTAAGGCAGCTACTCAGCTGCTCACAGTTGATTCTACTGTGATTACTGGTCACATCATGGAAATATTACATCGAGCTGCCCAGCCACTCAACCAGGCCCAGCCAAGTTGACACACAAACTTAACCATCACACCAATGTGCTACCAAATAGAACCGCTTCATAGGGTTTTCTTGGCTGTAATCTTTACATAAAAAGATATCTAGGCCTTTGTTCCATGGTGCTACTGGGTGCATTCAAACCGCCAACTTTTAGGTTAGTAGTCTAGCAGAAACTATTTGTGCCACCCAGGGATCTTTCTACACCCACCAGAATGGTTAAAAATAAAATAAATAAAACTTGAAATTAAAATACCAAATGAAAAAGTTTATTAATATTTTTATCTGATACATAGGAGGCTCTCAGTGAATACTCATTGAAGACAAGAAGGGAGAAAAAAAGAATATCTGAAAGCTTGAATGAATGGGAGCTCTGGTGGCATAGTGCCTAAGGCATTTGACTGCCAACCAGAAGGCTGGCAGTTCAAACCCACCAGCCACTCTTCAAAAGGAAGACTGGGCAATTTACTTCTGCCTTGGAAACCCAAAGAGGGGTCGCAATGAATCAACTCAACTCTATGGCAGTGAGTTTGTTTTTTGATTTTTTGAATGAATGGATGGATGAATGAGAAAAATTTGTCTGCATAGAATAGATTAAGAAGTTATAAATAATATGACAATATTAATCATTTATTGAATAATATCACAAAGGTTTAAATCTCCATTCAAGTCCTTACTTCCTCAAAGATATAAATTTCTTCCACTGTGAAATAAGTACATGTGACCATAACATAATTCTTGGCACATAATGCTATATGTGTGCTAGATATTTCTAGTAGAATATACAAATTCTACTCTCAGTGATTTATAGGCATCATGCCATTTAATCTTTAAAAGACCTTGTGAGTTAGACATTGATAATCATATTTCCCAAATGTGTTAACAAGATCAACCAGGTAAAGAATATTACTGAAAATGATCCAATATTGGCTGAACTAAGAATCAAATCTTAAAATGTTTGACTTCAAAAAGCCTATGTAGTTATCCACTGTGTGATACCTAACATTTAATTTGAAATGCAAACTGACTTGGTTTTCATTTCTTCATACACATGTGAATTAGAAAAAAGTATTTATTGAGCCAGATCATGGTGAGACTTTAACATACTTTTGGTTAAAAATTCTTCAAGAACCTTGGCAATATCCATTGTTGCATAATTGGCAAATATTAAGCAGTTATTGCCTATTTTTCAAACTTCTCTTTCAGTTTCCCTCTTAGTGAAAATGAAAGTTACCTTAGTTTCTATTCAGAATATGACACTATCAGAATAACAGTAGCTAAACCTAACTGACTACTGCAAATTTGCCAGGCACTGTTTTAAGAATATTAACATTTTTAGTCTCCAAAAAGCTCATCACATATGCCATTTTTCAAATGAGGAAATAGAGGGCCAGAGAAATTATATAATTTACCCTAAATTACACAGTAAGTGGTAAAGCTACTTTGTGATTCCACAAGTTGTAATTTTCATTGCCAAGGCTATTCTATTTTTCTACAAGTCTGAAACCAAAAGACCCCTTGCTCAAGAACAACTTTGTTTGTTGTTGTTATTATTAGTTGCCATCAAGTTGATCACTGGCTCATGATGACCCTGTACACAACAGTAATGGACGCTTGTGATTCATAGGGTTTTCATTGGCCGGTTTTTTAAAGCAGTCTGTCTTCATTTGGATGTGCTGCTTGAACTTGTGCAGCATCATGGCAATGTGCAAGCCTCCAGGTTGTGGCTGAACTTGAGGTGCACTTGCCTGGAATCCAACCCAGGTCTCCTTTATGGACGACAAGAATTTTACCACTGAACAAGCCCTACTCATCTTTCTACAAATACCATGAAAGCATAAGACTGCATACTCAAACACAATTCTGGTTATAGGGGTATGAAGGAAGATAACTTAGGAAAAATTCAATGATGCTGTCTAAGAAATTTGTATAAATAAATAACTACCCATAATAATCTTTACCAATTATGAAGGATATTAGACAAACACTGGCTGTACCTAGGTAAAAATTTCTGTTAAGATGATATGGAACAGTTACAGAAGAACAAATATTATATGAGCCAACATAAAGAGGCCAAAGTTTAAGTTGTTACTGGAGTGAGGCAAAGTTTATGTTAATAGTGATGTGAAGTTTTGGAAAATAATAATGGGGATGGGTGCACAACCTGAGGAACATAATCAATGTCACTGAATAGTACTAATAAATATTGTCGAATTGGCAAAGATTGTGTTATATATATATATAATCCCTCTTTGGTTTTATTATATATATAACCCCTCTTTCGTTTTGTTATATATATATAACCCCTCTTTGGGTTTCCCAAGTGATATCTCTATGGAAGTAGATTGCCCAGTCTTTCTTCTGAGGAGTGGCTGGTGGGTTTGAACTGCCACCCTTCTGGTTAGCAGTCAAATGACTTAGGCACTATGTATGTGTACATATTTATGTATAAAATAAACTCATTGCAGTTGAGTCAATTCCTACTTATAGCTACCCTCATATGTATATATATGAGCTCTTAGGTGCTGTTTATTTGACTCCAACTCAAAGCCACCCTGTGTACAACAGAATGAAACACTGCCCAGTCCTGCACCAGCTTCACAATCCTTGCTATACCTGAGCCCATCATTGCAGCCACTGTGTCAATCCGTTTCATTGAAGGCCTTCCTCTTTTTTGTTGACCCTCCACTTTACCAAGCATGATATCCTTCTCCAAGGAATGGACCCTCTGACAACATGACCAAAGTAGGTAAGACGAAGTCTGGCCATTCTCACTTCCTAGGAGCATTCCAACATCATATGCTTGTGAAAGCTGGATAACGGATAAGGAAGACCACAGAAGAGTTGATGCTTTTGAGTTGTGGTGTTGGCAAAAAATATTGAAAGTGTCAGAAAGTGTCTACTGCCAGAAGAACAAACAAATGTGCAGCTGGAATGCTCCTTGGAGGGTCAGTGATAAAGCAGAAGGCCCTTAGGGGATGAATTGACACAGTGGCTGAAACATGGGCTCAAGTATAGAAAGGATTGTGAGGCTGGCCCAGGCCCAGGTAGTGTTTCGTTCTGGTGTACACAGGGTGGCTATAAATCAGAGCTGACTCAATGGTAACTAACAACATATAAATATATATGTGTGTATGTTGTTGTTGTTATTATGTGCCATCGAGTCGGACCTGGCTAATAGCGACCCCTCCCTTGTGTTTCATAGGCAGTATCACTACGGAAGTAGATTGCCCAACCTTCCTTCCGAGGAGTGACTGGTGGGTTTGAACCACCAGCCTTCTGGTTAGCAGTCAAGTGCCTTAGGCACTATGCTACCAGAGCTCCTATATATATAAATACACACACACACACATTTCTATAAATATATATGTGTGTGTATGTATATGTATATGTGTGTGTGTGTGTATGTGTGTGTGAATAAAAAAAAAACAACTCACTGCCATTGAGTCAATTCTGACTCATAGCAACCCCTCTTTGGGTTTCCCAGGCGGCATGTAAACGGAAGTAGATTGCCCAGTGTTCCTTCTGAGGAGTGGCTGGTGGGTTTGAACTGCTATCCTGCTGGGTAGCAGTCAAATGCCTTAGGCACTATGCTTGTGTATATATTTATGTATAAAATACACTCACTGCAGTCGAGTCTATTCCTACTTATAGTTACCTCATTGGGTTTCCAAGGCAGTAAATCTTTACAGAAGCAGATAGACCAGTCTTCCTTCTGTGGAGTGGCTGGTGTTTTTGAACCAGTAAGCTTTTGGTCAGCATTCAAATACCTTAGTTTAGGCGTGGCACCCTGGTGAGGTAGTGTCTAAAGGCATTTGATTGCTAACCAGAAGCTTGGTGGTTCAAACCCACCAGCCACTCCGTGGAAGGCTGATGGGGCAATCTACTCTCATAAAGATTTACCTCCTCCAAAACCCAATAGGGGTTGCTATGAGTCAGAACCAACTTGATGGCAATGAGTTTGATTTTTGGTTTATATATATAGATATAGATATACATATACATATATATGTATGTGCATGTGTAAATATATATATGTATATATGTATGTATATATATATATATATATATATATGCATGTATAAAACAACAAAAAAAGAATTAAAAGGTATTGAAATTAAGGAAAATATAAATGTTCAATTATAATACTGTCAAGAAATATATATTAAACTGCATAAATAAACACGAGTTAAGACATACATTTTGTTATATATATCTGCATTTTTCTGTCCTTTGAAAGAGACTCAGGAGCTAATGGTTTCATCAGTTATCCTCCAAGCATTAAACATTCTTTTTATGCTCTTTTTTATGATTTGGCCTTAGTATATGTATATGAAGTATGATAAGGTGGAAACTCTTACATAGCCATGTCATGAGTGAGTAAAACAACAAATGATTATATAGAGAGATAGAGAAATATAAATATAAATATAAATAAATAAATAAATAAATATATATATATATACACATATAATGTCAGGTTACAAAGGCTATTATTTATGCAAGTAGGTATCAACAAAAGTGACTGAGAAAAAGGCATTATTTTAGCCTTAGGCTGAGCCTTCCATGTTGGCTCTGTTTCAACTTTCATTTTCATGAAACGGAAAATTGAAACTGAGCTCAGCTGAGTTAATCAGGAAAAGGTGTGTCCTTCCTTCCCTCTGACAAGTTACTAGGAGATGTGTTGATTTCCACAGCTATATAAAGTGAGTCTCTCCAGCATGCAGGGACAGCTGCAGGGTGTCCAGCCACGATGTGGATGCTCACGCCAGTTGCTTTTGCTGGAAAGCTGCTGAATGTTTTCAGGCAGCAGCTCACTTCTTTGTGGTGGACTCTGGTTCCACTATTTTTCTGGTTCAGGACAACAATTTGGTTTGCAGTTTTCCAGAGGAGACAGCAGCAGCAGGGTAAGGAATCAAAAGATAAGAACCAAAAGGAAGAAGATGAACTGCCCACTATTCCCACCAGCGTCAACTATCATTTCACTCGTCAGTGCAACTACAAATGTGGCTTCTGTTTCCATACTGCCAAAACATCCTTTGTGTTGCCCCTCGAGGATGCTAAAAGAGGACTGCTTTTGCTTAAGGATGCAGGTAAGTCCAGAATCACAGAAAGAAAAGGCAGTGCTCAACAACAGGGTAGTGGGGTAAGACAAGAGTGGGATGAGAGCATGCACAGGCTAAAGACCTTCTCCAGAACTTTGAGCCATCATTGCCCATTACACAGTGAAGATGTCATCCTGAAAGAAAATCTCAAAGACAGTTTTGGAGTGGGTACCTAGGTCTCCCTAAATTGCAGGTTGGCTTGGCAATTCTGTGGTGAATAAGTAGAACAAATTTATCCTTCCTGCTACTTTTAAGTGAGCAAAAGCATATGCAAATGCCTGGCATCTGTTCTTCCTGTGTTTGGCAAAGGGCAGGTTTGGAAGAGTTGTGCTACTGTCAGAGTTTGTTCAAACCTTGGACAGAGTGGGCTCTTGTTAGGATCCAAAGCACACATAGATTTGTTTTTTCCAGATACAGTTAATAAAGAAAGTTAAAGGGAAAAACAAATTTTGACATGAGAACAGCATGTTTAAGCCTTTCCTTTTGGATTGCTTATGTGATCTTAGTATGAAATTAAAAAAAAAAAAAAAACTATATAATTCAAATATAGAAATGACTTTGCTCTCAAGACTGCTTACTGAATATCCCCACATTATTCTCTTTCAGACATCTCAGATATAACCAGCATGTCCAATTCAAACACAACATCTTCCACAGCAAATCTGTCCTTCTGTCATTCCTTGCCTTCCTGTCTTTTGGATAGCATCTTCTAAGCTAGCTACTTCACCAGCAATATTGTTAGCTACTTTCTCTCCTTTATTAATTTTTTTTTTTTTTTTTACTGAAGTATAACATGCATGCACAAAATTGAACATATAATACCCATTGATGAATTTTCACAGAGAACACAGGCATGTAAAAAGCACTCAGAACAAGAAACAAAATATCACTAGTGTCCTAAGAAGCCCTTACCAGTCACGACTATTATCCTCAAAGACAATCACTAGCTTGTCTTCTAGCACACTGATTAATTTGGCCTGATTTTTTTTTTTTTTTTTAGATAAGTGAAATCATATAGCATACATTTTATTGGGTCTGACTTATTTTGCTCAACATTATGTTTACTTGTTCATCCACATTTTGTCTGTCAAGCAAAGACCTGCCTTGCTATTCCTAGTATACTTTAATTCATTTCTCTCCAAATCTAGAGTTGTCTTTCCTCTTTCTTCTGACAACACATTATCTTATTTAAAAAAAAAAAAAAAAGATGGTTAATTGCCCACCTAGGTCTTTTACATGACTGACAAGAGACAGAACTGATCACATAGTCTGCCAGGCTTCAGTGTTACTATAAGCATCCTCTACCCAAACTTCCTTAAATCCTCTCTGTTCTAGATACATCATACTACATCTACTCTCTCAAAACACATAAATCATCAATTCTCTGATCATAAGAGTCTCTTTTCCTGGAAGCCCAGCCACTAAAATCTCTGTTGGTGCACTTTCAAAATTCCTTAGAATTCTTGGTTCTCTTCAGGCAGAATTAATGTCCTCCCCACTCATGGCACTTTTCACAAATATTTATTATGGAACTTCTAAAATTGTACCATTTTGTTTTCTTTTGTTTTTAGTATCAGGATCTCCAAAGAGTTTGAGTGCCAAGGTTGAAACATAGCTGTCAGTATACTTCTGGGACTTAGAAAAATATGCAGACTATTGTTACTGTTGTGTTGTTAGGTACTATTGAGTTGGTTCCAATTCATAGTGACTCCTAGGTATAACAGAATGAAAAACTTCCCAGTCTTGTACCATATCACAATTATTGCGATGTTTGAGCCTACCATTGTAGCTACTGTGTCAATCCATTGTATTGAGGGGCTTCCTCTTTTTTGCTTACCCTCTACTTTACCAAGTATGATGTCCTTCTCCAGGGATTGGTCCCTCCTGATAACATGTCCAAAGTACTTGCCATTCTAGCATCTAAGGAGCAATCCAGCTGTATTTCATCCAAGACAGATTTGTTTATTCTTCTGGCAGTCCATAGTATGTTCAATATTCTTCACCAACACCATAAATAAAAGGCATCAATTCTTCTTCAGTCTTCTTTATTTATTTACTGTCCAGCTTTTGCAAGCAAAAAGGTACTGAAAATACCAAGGCTTGGGTCAGGTACACCTTAGTCCTCAAAGTGATATCTTTGCTTTTTAGCACTTTGAAGAGGTTTTTTGTAGCAGAATTTACAATATGTCATTTGATTTCTTGACCTCTGCTTCCCTGGGCAATGATTACGGATCAACGTAAAATAAAAACTAGAATATAATAGGGACTTTTTGGATGTAAGAACATCTTGTTGGATGTAGGAACATCTTTTTGGATGTAAGAATGAATGAGTGAAGTGGAAAAGGAAGTTTGGTGAAATGGGAAAAACTGAGACTCTTATTTTGGAAGGCCAGGGTTTGAGTGTGACCTCCAACACTTGCTAGATTTGACAAGTTATAATTGATTCAGAATGGTCCCAGAGAAAAGACCAAAGATATTGACATTTACCTCCCTTTCACTCCATAGTGAAACCCTCCATTTGACTAGTCTTCTCCTTAATTGCAGAAGTCCCAGTCAGCTATTTGGTGCCTCACTCGAATATAAATGAACAAAAAAAAGAGAAAATACAGGAAGAAGTAAACATATGAACATCTATAATTAGTAATTGCAGAAATATAAGGGAAAGAATTGCACATATGAAATAGGAGTGGAATGCTAAAAAAAAAAAAAAATTAGACAATATAGAGGAGTTTCAGAAATTAGGAAAACTAGATTTCCAAAATTAAAATTTTAATTGAAAGACTGAAAGGTAAAGTCCTGGAAAAATTGAATGAAAAACAAAGAGATGGACAATTGGAAGGAAAGATAATGAGAAAATTGTGGTTAAATGCAGAGTTCCAGTGTCCCAGTAATAGACTTTCCAGAAAGAGAGAAGAATAAAAATTGAGAAGTGGGACTTATCAGACAAATAATATAAGAAAACTTCACAAAACATTAAAGAGTTGTGTTTTTAGACTGAGATCTTTTCAAGTAGCCAGAACAACAAAGAAAGACAGATATCACTAAGATACAGAGTTTTAAAATTCAGAATACTAGAGAGAAGGGGGAAAAAAGCAATTATTCACCAATGATTATAAATAAGAATGTCATCAGACTTTTAAACAATATTATTAAAATTTAGAAGACAATGAGCAATGTCCTTAAAATTCCAAGTAAAAACGATTTCACTCCAAATATTATACCTGGCCAAACTCTTAATCACAAATACATGTTTAGACACCTAGTATCAATTTAATTCATACTTTACATTTTTTAGGAAGTTCTTAAATTATTTTTCCAAAATAGGGGAGGAAACCAAGAGAAAGAAGGACAAGGGATCTAGGACAACAGGCAAGAGAAAAGTGAAGAGAAATCCCAGACTGATACTAAATGATACTCCTGGGGGAGAGCTAACCCAAAAACAACCATTCCAGATCGCAATGGAAGTGGCTTCCCACTTTGTTGATCTCTAGGTTGCCTCACTGTACCCTTTGGTACATTATCTGTGTGACTAATTTTCTACATTAAAGTATATAAATTTTAAAACAGGAAAAACAAGTGACTTTTTTGGGGAGAGGGTTGGGCCTTCACTTATATACATGACTTGCTGTTGTTATGTGCCATCGAGTCGGACGGACTCATAGCGACCCCTCCTTGGGTTTCTGAGGCAGTATCACTACTGAAGTAAATTGCCCCATCTTCCTTCCTAGGAGTGGCTGGTGGGTTTGAACAGCCAGCCTTCTGGTTAGCAGTCAAGTGCCTTAGGCACTATGCTACCAGAGCTCCCATATACATGACTATTCCCATAGAATGGGACTGACATTGGGAAAATGGGATTGAGGAATAATGGGAATATTTTATTTCACTTTTTTACTTTGGAAAAATATTACTTTTGCAATTTAAAGTTAATAATGAATATTTGTAAAGTGAAAAAATATTGAGAAGGAAAATAATCATGTTTCTTCTAACAGGTATGGAGAAGATAAACTTTTCAGGAGGAGAGCCATTTCTTCATGACCGAGGACAACACCTAGGCGAGCTGGTGAAGTTCTGCAAAATGGAGTTACAACTACCTAGTGTCAGCATTGTGAGCAATGGAAGCCTGATCCGAGAGACGTGGTTCAAAAATTATGGTAAATTGCATTGGTGGACACTTCAGTTATTGCTACATTGCATTTTATAATTGTGTTCTAGATTTCCTTCCATTCTGGGCCCTGAGCCAGATCTGCTAGGGGAAAGAAAGAGAAGATTAAAAAAAAAATATATATATATATATATATATATATTCTAATCTCTTTTCAAGTTGCCTATGGAATTCTGATAGTTTTAGTTTTGTGGGTCTCTGAGTAAACAAGTATAGCAACATTGGTAACAGAAAAAAAAAAAAAGTTAACTGTACCTTTCCTGTACATTTCATTTTACCAAGCATTAATACATGTGGCCTTAGCTTAACACTTGTTATGTGTCATTGAGTGGGAACCGACTCATAGTGACCCCTCCTTGGGTTTCCGGGACAGTATCACTACAGAAGTAGATTGCCCCATCTTCTTTCTGAGGAGTTGCTGGTGGGTTTGAACCGTCAGCCTTCTGATTAGCAATCAAATGCCTTAGGCACTTCGCTCCCAGAGCTCCCTAGCTTAACACTAGTGGGGAAAATTAGCACATTTGACAGTTTTGCAAGTTCTGATCTTATTGTTTGTTTACTGTTACTTTTTTAAATACTTGTGTGTTCCTTTTAATAATCACATTAGTCAATTATGTGATTGGGCTGAAGTAGCAGTGTTTACATTTGGCAGCACAGTTGGCTGCTGAAAAACTTTAAATATTTATGTTGAGACTAATTAAATCAGAATGTCATGGTGTATGGACTGGTTGTATTGAGGGGCTTCAAGTGATTCCAAACAGCAGTCAGGATTAAGAAGCACTGGATCCTAAGTTTGCTGAGGCTCCTTACAGCTAAGCTTTAGGTATATCTACTGTGAAAGGAAAGAAGCTCTGGTGGTGCAGTGCCTAAGGCACTTGACTACTAACCAAAAGGCTGGTGGTTCAAACCCATCAGCCACTCTGCAGAAGGGCAATCTATTTCTGTAAAGATTTATCATGTTGGAAACCCAAGGGAGATCACTCTGAATCAACTCAATGGCAGTGGGCTTTGTTTTTCATTTTTTTTTTTAACATAAAAGGAGCTTTGGTGGTGTAGTGCTTAAGGCATTTGGCCACTAACCAAAACGTCAGTGGTTCAAATTCACCAGCCTCTCCATGAAAGAAAGATGGAGCAGTCTGCTTTTGTAAAGATTTATAGCCTTGGGAAGCCAATTGGGGTTTCTATGAGTTGAAATTGACTCAATAGCAGTGAGTTTGATTTTTGGTTTAATATGCATGAAGTTCTTGGGTGGCACAAAAGTTTAAATTCTCAACTATTAACTATAAAGTTTGCTGCCTGAGTCCATCCAGAGGAATCATGAAAGAAATCTTTGGCTATCAACTTCCACAAAATATAAGAATAAAAACCAGTTAATAAAAAAGATCTTTGGAAGTGCCATTCAGCATGGTGCTATAGATACACACACCAGAATGACTGGCTGACAACAAGGATCCAAGAAACTAAGTAAACGAGACACACAAAAAAAGTCTTTGGATCCCAGAACACCAAGCAGAGAGTTGAAGAAACAGACTGAGCACTGACTGGAAGAAGAGGGACAAGTAGACCAATGGAAAAAAAATGGAGATTCATGGGTTGATGGCAACCTACTGCCTGACATGGAGCTATGTGGCCACTTTGGTAACACATAGAAAAATGATATGTAGTGAAGTCAAGAAAGAAACCACAAAGAGAGCACAGCTATTATCAAAGGTTAACTGCAAACAATCCTGGAATGAAATAACTAGATGGTCAGGACTTGGCCAGCAACAGTGCACCCTTGGGAAGTGGGTAATTGCAGAAGCAGTATAGATTTGAAACCAGGGAACCATGGGGAAATGTATCCAGAGCTACCAAAACAGACTGAGTCATCTCAGCCTCAGTGAAAGAGGCAATGTAGGAGGGAGAACATAAACGTAGTAGAGTAAAGGGGAGGGACAGATGGGAAGGTGAGAGCTCCAGTTCCTCCAGTGAGTGCAAGAGAGGAAGAAGTCATGTACTTGCCTGCCTACCACCCTCCTATCCCCAACCTGATAAGCAGCAGCATCCATGCTTCCACACGCTACCCTCCTCCCATCCCCCCACAACCTTGAGAGCAGCAGCATTTATATTTCCATGCACTCATCCAACTCCTTCCCATCCCCTGGCCCAGTGAGAGGTGGCAACTGTATGCTTGCCTATGTTTGTCTGCCTGATACCCACCCACCCCAGCCTGGTAAGTGGCAGCAACCGCCTGCTCCCATGTGCTGTTTACCCACCACCCAACCATCCTGCCATTCATCTTCCGGACCAGTGAGCACCAGTGAATCCATATTCCTGCACAATTACCCACCCACCTTCCACTCCTCCTGACCCAGCATGCTGTGGCAAACACCTACTAACCATTCCCCAACCAGGCTAGGCAAAAAGTGCACTCATGCAGCCCCCCCTCCCAGCCTACCATCCAGCCCTACCCACTAAGAGGCAGAGAGAGCTTCCCTCATGCACATCTAACTAATACTCCAGAGAGTGGTAGAAATGTCATATCTGTGTGCCCACATATATGCCACCTATGAGCACCCGCTGACTTGGCAAGAAGATAACAACCCACTGCTGCCTGCTCCACTCACTCAGCACACTCAACACAGCTGCTACTCTGCCCACTGAGCAAGTGACTTCACCTGTTCCTGCACCAGAGGACTGATGACAGATGGCTGACAGTACCTACCCAGCTGGTCCTCAAGGGGCATAATCTATGTGTAATTGTAATTCCAGAATGGGAGGCAACAAAAATAAGTACAGACAGAATGAAGGTGAAGATTACTGTATAAAACTTCCCTAATTTCATGAAAGATGAGAATAAAACCATCCAGGAAGCCCAACGAACCCAATACAAGGTAGACCCCAAAAGAAAATCACCAAGAGATACCATAATCAAACTTTCCAAAACCAAAGAGCAGCTTGGGAAAAATAAAATATTACAAAGACAAAACAATAAGACTGAGTTCTGATTTCTCAGCAGAACTATACAGGCAAGAATGTGATGGAATGACATATATAAAATTCTGAAAGAAAAAAAAAATCCCAACTAAGAATTATATATCTAGCAAAATTGTATCTCAAACACAATTGTGAAATTAGAACGTTTCAAAATAAAAAGAAATTAAGGAAATTTGTAAGCACCAGATCATCTTTACAAATTGGTAAGTGTTGCATATATACTCACATATATATATAATAGAGCACATAGGGGCACAGTTATAGAAGCTACTTAGATATCAGGACTGAACTACTGGACTTGAATGCTAGAGACCATAGTCTTGGGGGACATCTAGATCAATTGGCAAACAAATATTCTACATCCTAGTCTGGTGAGCAAAGTCTGGGGTCTTAAAAGTTTGTAAGCAGCCATCTAAGAAGTAACTTGTTCTCTTCCCACGCAAAACAAGGGAGAGTGAAGAAAATAAACACTCAAGGAAGCATATTAGTCCAGAGGACTAAAGGACCACATAAATCACAGCCTTCTCTAAACTGAGACCAGAAGAAATACATTAAACCTGGTTACCACTGCTAAATGCTCTGACCAGGACCACAGTAAAAGGTCCTGTTTAGAATGGTAAAAATTGTAGAACAAAATTCAAATTAAGTTAAAAAAAAAAAAAAAAAAAAAAAACAGACTTCCTGGTGAAAAAGAATGGAGAAATCCTTGAGACTATCATCCTAAGACAACCTTCTAATTTGAAACTGAAGATACTCTCACAGCAGTCTGATCCCCACCATACATGGGGAGCCGTGAGTCAAGGACTGATGAGTTGGCATTTAACAACAGCAACACATGCGTACATGTATGCCAGAGTTTCTAAATAATCATGTACAATTATCTGTATTATCTTATTATGTGTATATATTGTTTTCAGGATTGTCTCATATAAGTACCAAATGTCATTCACATCTCAGTGATGCTTGTGAGTTGTTTTGGTTCTCTAGTGCTACTCTAACAGGAAATATCACAAATAGGATGGCTTCAAACAAACAGGGATTTGTTCTCTTACAGTTTTGGAGGCTAGAAATCTGAGTTCAAGTGCCAGCTCTAGGGAATGGATGAAGGGCCCTTGACCTTGGGCTTCATCTCTGCCTCTTGCTCCTGGCCCACTGAAGCTAGAGGTGTCTCTTCACTCAGGCAGCTGCTGGCTGCTGAGGCTGACAACCCCAAGGTTGACAAGTAAAATGGCACAGTACCAAAATTATCAAACTACACGGCAGGTCACTGATTCAAGTCCATTAACAGTCCCAAGACTGGCAGACAACACGGCAGGCTGTTGAACAACAACTCAGCTACATGCAGGATTCAATTGTGCCAATAGCTACAGAAATCTTTCTCAAAGTGTCTTCTTATATACAGGAAGCAGACCACATCCCGAAGGCAGCTACTCAGCTGCCCCAGTAGATTCCACCATGGAGTTGATTACCAGTCTCATCATGGGGAATAATTACATCCAGCTGCCCGGCCACTCAAAATCAGGCCTAGCCAAGTTGACACACAACTTATCTACCACGTGATTATAAGAAAATATTATTTTTTTAAAAAAATTATAACATAGAAATAAACAAGATATGTTTTATAATAATGAGATATAAACTATCTAAAAGGCTTGGTTTTTGGATAGAAATGTTTAAAAGTTTTCATTTTCCCTCAGGTGAATATTTGGACATACTTGCTATCTCCTGTGATAGCTTTGATGAGCAAGTGAATGTTCTTATTGGTCGTGGCCAAGGAAAGAAGAACCATGTCAAAAATCTTCAAAAACTAAGGATGTGGTGCAGGGATTACCGAGTGGCATTCAAGATAAATTCTGTCATTAATCGATTCAATGTGGAAGAGGATATGAATGAACAGATTCGTGCACTAAACCCTGTCCGCTGGAAAGTAAGTACACAGTGTTGCATTTTCTGATTTTTACCATGAAAACATTCAGGAAAGCCTTTCTTCAAAGAAACCAAAAGTGATATGATCCAAAGAATTCTGGCATACTGAGCTAGCCTGGAAACCTAGTCCTTTATCCTTCTTCTACCTTTGTTAAATGATCAACTACTTAAGCTTTATTTGCCTCAGTTTTATTGTCTGAGGCAAAGAAATGGAACTAATTTCCTTCTGGAATATTGTAAAAATAAGTTCAAAAGGTCTGCCAAGTACTTGGAGATGTTGTAAAGGATATTTGCTTATAAACTCTAAAGTCCAAATTATATCATTTTTTAAATTTAATATTACTAGATTTCTTCTTAAAACTCTTATTTAGTTATAATGAATATATTCTCTTCATAAGTTCTGATGTTATTAAGATTTTTATTGAACCGTAGAAGACATTGTGGGCAAAGCCATCCAAATTTTGTCAAAATACCCATGTTGTGCTTGAGTGTACTTAAGATTCCAACTTGTATTTTGATCTCCCATTCTGTACCTGAAATAAGAATAGGTGCTGTAGATAAAAGGATGAATAAGACATAAGCTTCTTAAGGTGCTCACTGTCTAGTGAGGAAGACTGTCATGAAAACAAATAATAAAAACATCATGTAATGAAATGTCAGTGGTGATCTGAGAGATCACAGAAAAAGGAGTGACTGAGGAAAGAAATAAAAAGAGTTAACAAAGAAAATAATATTTAGGACAGTTTGAGAATTTACTCTAAGCCGACATAATTTTAGAGTAGATCTGAAAACCACATTTATTAAATGTTATGTAGAATATTCCTTACATAAGAGCCCTGATGACCTGGGATCTGTTCTGACTCTGTCTTTGATTAGCTATCACTTTTTTGTCATCTTGGACAAATCATCTGCCTTCTCTGGGACTGAAGTTTTCATTTTCAGATGATGATATTACTTATAATGAAATAATACCAGAAAGATAGATAAACATATATTCATGTATAATGAAGTATTGAAAGTGAGTATTTAATGACTTTGGAAAACTATCCTTATATATTAGTTGAAAAGCAAACAGATTCTAGAGACTTTTATAAAGATATGTTAAAAATCAGAAGCAACAACAAAATGGTGAAAATACTTCACTCTTGGTTTTAGAATTGAAAGTTATTTGTTTCTTTTCTTGATGCTTTCTTTTACCCCATGTTTCCTTCAAAGAATATCCATTATTTTTCAGTTTGAAAAAAAATTAGATTATATGACAAATGTAGGAACTCTGGTAGCGTAGTGCCTAAGGCACTTGACTGTTGACCAGAAGGCTGGCAGTTCAAAACCACCAGCAACCCCTTCAGAAGGAAGATGGGGCAATCTACTTCTGTAGTGATATTGCCTCGGAAACCCAAGGAGGGGTTTCTATGAGTCGGGTGCGACTCAACAGCATATAACAACAACAACAACAACAGCATGACAAATGTAATATAGATCAGTTGTTTTTTTTTTTAAATTATATTTTAGGAGTGTATTTGCTTCTACTGTCATATACCTGAATTTCGGAGTTAGCTTCATTTCCCTAAATCATTGTCTTTATAGAATGTTTTTTAGTCTTCATTGCTTAAAAGGAAATGAAGCTTGGATCAGAGGGAAATTAAGAGGGATGAAAATGATGAAAGTTACAAAAAAAAAATTACACTTGTTTTTCAGGTCTTCCAATGCCTAATAATCGAGGGTGAGAATTCTGGGGAAGATGCTCTAAGAGAAGCAGAAAGATTTGTCATTAGTGATGAAGAATTTGAAAGATTCTTAGACCGCCACAAAGAAGTTTCCTGTTTGGTGCCTGAATCTAATCAGAAGGTTGTATAAAGCAAAAGTTGTTTTATTTACCATCACAAGTGTAGATTGATTCTGAACAGGGAAATGGCTGCTTCTTGTCCAATGCAATCCACACCTTCTTATTTTAGAGGGTACAGGATGGAGAAATGAAGGAGTACAGTCTTAGGAGCCAAAGTTGAAGTTCACCATCATCTGTGCTACCTTCCAGTTGTGTGGGCTTTTAATGAATTCTGTTTTCCCATTAGAAAAAAAAAAAAAAAAGTTTGTGTGTGTGTGTGTTTACAAATACTTTATACATATAAATACACACACATATACATAAGTAACACACATATATATTGATATATATATATAAATACACACACACACACACACATATATATATATATCTCAAAGCAATACTGCCTAAAACAGAAGGAACTGATTGGCACTGTATTGGTATCAACAGTATATGTATTGATATTAACACTATCACAATATTTACTTAAATTATCTCCATGAATAATTTCAAAAGTTGCATAACAATGTAGAAGAAATGATACATCAACTCTTTAGTTATCTAAAATGGCTACATTTGGGTCCATATTATTAGTATAAACTTCATATAATTCATAGGCTAAGCAATATTGACCAAAGCCTGTCTGAACTATGGAGTTTCCAGTTGTTACTATAGGCACAGTGAATGTTTCAATGGTGTGTTATAAAAAGGTAAAGAAAAAAGAATTCCTATTTCTCCCTGCCATAGTGTCGGAAGCTTCTTATATGTGAAAGTTATAAAGAAATTAATATATATTTATAATATAATGAATATATATTCATAAGAATATATATATATAATTCATAATAATAAAAAAAAACCTCACTGCCATTGAGTCAATTCTGACTCATAGTGACCCCCATTGGGTTTCTGAGGTGATAAATCTTTACAAAAGTAAATTGCCCAGTCTTCCTTCCATGGAGTGGCTGGTGGGTGTGAACTGCCAAGCTTCTAGTTAGTAGTCAAAGCTTTAGGCACTATGCCACCAGAGCTCCTTAATTCATAATATCTTAATTGTAAATATATAAACAAAACCCACTGCCATCAAGTTGATTCCAACTCACAGCAACCAGCAACCCCAATTGGATTTCCAAGGCTATAAATCTGTACAGAAGGAGCTCTGGTGGCATAGTACCTAAGGCATTTAACTGCTAACCAGAAAGGTTGGTGGTTCAAACCCACCAGCCACTCTGCCAAAGCAAGACTGGTCAAATCTACTTCTGTAAAGATTTACCACCTCAGAAACCCAACGGGGGTCGCTATGAGTGGGAATCAACTCATTGGCAGTGGGTTTGTTTTTTTGTATTCAGAAATGCGGAACTTTTTATGTAAAAGTATAATGCTGTAGGTTGTAAATAATTGAAGGCAACCTGATATTCAGGATGTAGTGAGCAGGTAATTTTTTATATGTTCCCAGAATGAATGTTATACTAATCAAAAACCACATTTCAAAGAATATTTAAAATACTAAGTACCAAGGATAAATTCTCAAAACATAATCCAAAACCCAAAAAAGCCAAACCCACGGCGAATCATAGCAACCCTATAGGAAAGAGTAGAACCGTCCAAGAGCTTTTCCAAGGCTGTAAATCTTCAGTGAAGCAGACTTCCTCATCTTTCTCAGGCAGAGTACTTGATGGGTTCGACCTTCCAACCTTTGGGTTAGTAGCCAAGCTCTTACACACTGAGTGACTAGGGCTCCTTTTATAACACTGTTTACAAATTAGTACAGCATGCGAAATTCAATTAAGTTTAATTCTACCTAATGTGCAAAGAAAATATTTATATATGTGTATAGCTCAAATTAGTGGGTGTATCAGTAATTTTTGTTTTCTTTCTTTGTAACTTTATGAAATTTTAAAATATTAGCTTTATCACTTGAAAATTAATTAAAAAATGAAAACTTTTCTCATCTGCTACCAAAAAAGTAGATCTGCAGCAAAATTTCTCCCTCATCTGTTTATAAGATGTTAGAAATTTCAAAAACAGAAATTATCTCCTTTTGCTTTTGACTTCTGAGCTTCTTGATAAATACCAAAACCAAACTCCCTGCCATTGAGTCAGATACTACTCATAGGAACCCCTCCTTGGGTTTCCAAAGCAGTATCACTATGGAAGTAGATTGTCCAACCTTGCTTCCGAGAAGTGGCTGGTGGGTTTGAACCGTCAGCCTTTTGGTAAACAGTCACATGCCTTAGGCACTATGCCACCAGAGCTCCTTCTTGATAAATAGTTGGAATTTAAAAGTTAATGTTTAGTACAGCATGGTTAGTATATCATTTCATTCTGGGAACATAACAATATCCCTGAATGAAAGACTGGCCTTCCAAAAGGAGAGAGAACATAACAAGAAAACTGTCATATCCATGTACTATTTTATTTGAGTTTTTAAATCCTAACTTCATTATGTAGTTAATGTAAGATAAAATAAAATATAATATTGTTCTTGGATCTGCTAGGCCTTTTATACATCTCAGACAATTTTCATAAATGCTTTATGAGCTAGGTTTTATTATCCCCATTATACTAATAATGAGGTAAAGTCTCAGCTGTTAATTTACCTGATTTATGTCAGAGACAGGCACATTAGAGATAAAATCAAGATTTTGATGACCCCAAAGCCTATGCTCCTTCTACTAGCCAGTACAACTGAAATTTTATTGTGTAGGCAAATTACCTGGGGATCTTTTTGAAATGCAGATTGAGATTCAGAGTATCAGAGGTTAGACCTGAGATTCTGCAATTTTAGCCAGAGGTGGCTAAGCACAGGATAAAGCAAACTATCACCTGAGGGACAAATCTAGCCTGCTGCCCACTTTATGTATCTTATAGCTAAGTGTGGTTGGGAAAATAATCAAAACAGGAATAATGTTTCATGTCCAAACAAAATTGTATGAAACTCAATTTTCAGTATTCATAAATAAGGTTTTGATGGGACATAGTCATTCCATTTTTTGCATGTTATCTGTGGCAAATTTCAGGCTACAACTGCAGAGATGAGTAGTTGTGAAAGACCCGTAGAGCCAGTAAAGTTGAAAATACTTACTATTTGATTCATTAAGGAAAGTTTGCTGACCCCTGCTCTATACCAGTAGAAGCCAGAACTCCATAAAAGTAATGTCGTTGTTGTTGTTACTTGCCAATGAGTCAGGACCCTGGCTCATGGCAATTCTATGTGCTACACAGTAGAAAACTATAGAGTTTCCTTGGCTGTAATCTTTACAGAAGTGTCCTGGTTACACAGTAATTAAAGCAATTGATGGCTAACCAAAACAGAGATGGTTCAAATCCACCAGTTGCTCCAGGGGAGACAGATGAGGCAGTCCACTTCTATAAAGATTTACAGCCTTCTGGCAGTGCTGTTTTGTTTTGTTTTGTTTTGTTTTGTTTTTGTTTTTGTTTTTCCTATAGGGTTACTATGAATCAGAATCAAATCAATGGCAGTGGAAATCTTTACCAAAGCAGTTCACCAGGACTTTCTGCCATGGAGACGCTGGGTGGATTTGAACTTCCAAACTAGATTAACAGCTGATCACAAACCACTTGCACCACCCAGACTTACAGGAAAATTAGAGCAATATTAAAATCTTCAGTTAAAGCCATGTTGTAGCCCTCAGATTAAGGGGATTCTGATTTATATCTCATGGGGGCATTGGTGTTTTAGTGATAGAATCTTCATCTTCCCTGAGACACTCAGGTTCAATTCTTGGTCAATGTATTTCATGCACAGTCACCACTGGTCTGTCAGTAGAGGCTTTCATGTTGTTATGATGCTGAACAGACCAAGACAGACTAGGAAGAAAGGCCTGGTAACCTACTTTTGAAAATCAGCCATTGTAAGCCCTATGGATCACACTGGTCCACTCCTCTGCAATCCATCATGGAGAAGGTGCAGAACCAGGCAGTATTTCATTCTATTTCATTTATTGCTATGAGTCAGGGATGACTTAAAGGCAACTAACAACAGCTCCACCAGCAATTAACAAATCAAAAAGAACAAAGTGTATGTGAGGTGGACACAATCACTGTGAATATTGGATGATAAAGGAAAAAAAAAAAACTCTCCCATAGCTTGAGGAATGAGGAAATTGAGCTTGGGCATTTTATAGTCAAAGAAGCTGTGAAGGTCAAGAGACTAACATTTGACTTGCTCAGCATGGAGACATCCAGGCTTGCTCTAACTTGTTGCAATATGACTGGATGGACATCAATAGATACCCCTGGACAGGTGTATTAGGTGGTGATGGGGGCAAAGGCTGGTGACTCATCTTATAAGGTACATACCAAAAGGCACATACACGACACAAGAAAAGTTGAATACAGAAGTAATAAAACAACAACACACAAACATTGTAAGATAGACCATTGAACTTGCATACTGAAAACTACACTTGAAACTAAATTTGTTTTAATTTCTTCTTTGCAGATGAAAGACTCCTACCTTATTCTGGATGAATATGTGAGTATTTCTAATGAGTTATGAAATGATCACTTAAAATGTAATTAAGCAGCAATGACCGAGTTGAGTTATAATGAGTATAACCACTTAGAATGTGGCTGTCGTTCTTAACTAGCATTCATATTTTTCTTGTCAATGATTAGTATGAATATTCTAGAATCCTTTCTTCAAAGTGTCGAAGTGTGAATTCTGCACTTTGACACACATTAATTATCTTGAACCTGGGTCTCTGTATTTGCTGATGCTGTGGTCCATTCTTAGCCCTTTGTGCTACTTTGACTGGGAGCTGAAAGCACTTCCAACCTCACCCACAAGCTCTGGGCCTCTTTACACTGTGCTTCTTCACAACACACAGACTCCTACTGCACTCTGGGTCTCAGCCCTAATTGTCTCAGGTCTTTGCTGTACTGGAACTTGTTGTCTTTTGAACCTTGCCTACATCACTATGTCCCACATCACTAGGCTCCAGGATTTTACATATTGGAGATAAAAGGTTGAGATGTTGGTACTTATCTCCCCAGAGGCCCTGAGCATCTTAAATTAATTGTGTTTTTTTTCCACAGACTTCCTTTACAGAAGAACTTAGAGAAACTTTTCAAGCAATTTTAATTAAAAAGGGTAACAGGAATTTTCTACTCTTAGAAAAGACTAGAGATATTAAGTAACTCTCTTTTAGAGAGTCCAACTTAACCAGTGCCTTCCAAATTATTGATCACATCCTGGAGCTCTCATATCTAAGCTCTCTTTTCCAGCTCTATTAAAACATAGCACTCCAGTAACTTTTTGCTGATGAGAGATTAGGTTGTCTTCCCACAGATGGCTATTTAATCTTAATAATTCAGAAACTACCAGTTTGCCTTCTGACTGGTAAATGTTGACCTTTGTGAGGAGAGGCTTACAGGTCCTTTCCAAGCACCACTATCCATACTTCCACTGTCTTCCACAGAAAAAAGAAAATACACACTTCTTCAAATTGAAATGCAAACTACTTTTCCATTTTCTCCCTTTTTTTCTAGATTAGTAAACCTTTGCCAATATTTCTAGCAGAAGACATATAATTCCCTTCAAAGACCCATTTTTATGAAAGAAGTTCCAACAATAGCCATGTGTTCAATATTTAACTTGGATTTAGTTTTTTGAAAAGGGTAATTGTGACTTTTAGTATTTCATTATTTCCAAACTAATGAATGCTGCTTTAGAGTAATTTTATCTCTTGTCAATGTGAGCTTTATGGAGCATAACGGGAAATGTGAGAAGGCAAAGCTTTCATTTATGAGGTCAAGGTAGGTAGGGAAATTCAAACCAAATTTATTTCTGAAGTCCAAATTATCATGATGGACTTGAGATTTTGACCAATGTTCCATCTAGTCTCCACATAGATATAACAAACATAGTTGAATAAAAAGGTGCTTCTGACAATTTAATAACATTTTAATTCAACAAATCTAGCTTGAACTTCTACAAAACTCTCAGCATCCTGGTAGCTCATAAGAATAAAAAAGACCTTGTCCTTGCTTACAAGGTGCTTATCTTTAGAATAAAAAAACCAAAATATTTAGTGAATTATATGATTCTTCTTGATCTCTTGCCTATCTTTCTTTTCAGCTCCTCTCTTACCATTGTCTCCTTTTTTCAAAGAGGCATTTATTTTATTCCAGCAATATTATCAAGCTACAATTTCCTAATCATACTATACTACTCCATGCTTCTGAGTTTTTGTAATATTGTGCTCTTGAACTTGCAAATCTCAAAACATAATTCATATATCAACTTTTGGAGATGCTTTCCCTTGTTAGACTTGTATATAATTCTATTTAACATACACTTAATCAATCTGATGTGTTTGTGTCTGCCCCTTCCATTAGAATGAGTGTTGGTTGAGTAGAAAGATCCCCCCACCCACTGCCATTGAGTTGGCTCCGACTCACAGTGACTACTCCCTGGGTTTCCAAGGCAGTATCACTATGGAATTAGATTGCGCAACCTTCCTTTCAAGGAGTGGCTGGTGGGTTTGAACCACCAGCCTTCTGGTTAGCAATCAAATGCCTTAGCCACTACACCACCAGAGCTCCCGAGTAGAAAGATAGGGTCCAGAAATTTAGTATGTTCAGTAAAGAATTTATTGCACAGTTCTTAATAAACTTATGTTAATATAAGTGGAATACCAGAAATTATTTTGGGTTACACCCTTAAATTGGGTTTTATAGGATATATTACATAAAAATAACCCAATTTCTGTCATGACTTTCCTAGATGCGCTTTCTGAACTGTAGAAATGGACGGAAGGATCCTTCCAAGTCCATCCTGGATGTTGGAGTAGAAGCTGCTATAAAATTCAGTGGATTTGATGAGAAGATGTTCCTAAAGCGAGGAGGAAAGTATGTGTGGAGCAAAGCAGATCTAAAGCTGGACTGGTAAAGCTGGAAGTGGAAGAAGCCTCTAGTCCAACTGTAGGAGAACATTACCCATACTCGAAATGTGGCTGTCATCACCAGCAATGCTATGTGCTGGCCTTTCTCAGTGGTCAGGAATTTGACTTTTTATTGCATAGGACATCTGATTATCTGTGGCAACTGAATATAAAAATGTGGATAGTTGAAATCCACATACATTGCAAAACCTCTAACTTCAGTTAATTAGTTTATTACTTTATTACTATTGAGAAAGTACTTCAGTTCTGGGGCTTGATTTATTTCAAAACTGGGCTACACAGTAACAAAAAAGTCTAGATGAACTAGGTATATACAAGACGTATAATGAAGTTCATAAGCTTCAACAACTCTTGTAGCGTCTATATTTAATTTGGATTTGATCTTTGTAAGCAATGTCCTTTATGATTCCAGGATTTCAATTTTTGATCTCCCTGCCCCAGTTTATTCTTTTGATCATCAGTTCTTCTCTGGTAAATTTTATTGAGATACTGGTTTTCACATCTAGAAAAATTACAAAAATCTTTCCTCCACTTGTTTGCTCTTGTTGGCATGCTCTTCCTTTTCTGTCTTTATACCATTGTGACTTTGATTTTTACATAGAAATTGAGGAATATTCAGCAGATTTTTTAATACTAACATTCTTACCAGTTTTCAATAAAATACAAAGAAGGAGAGGAGATAGGTAAAGATGTTCTGAGATGGTCTCTGCCCACTGTGACTATCCAAGCATTGCCATCTCTGTAACTCCTCTTTCTCTTCAAAGATTCTTAAAAAAACATATTTTTATATTCCCTGATAAAGTTGATATGAGTGTGATAGTTGGAACTGTGTGTCAACTTGGCTGGACCACAATTCTGTGTGGTTTAAGCTGTTGTGATGTGGTTATTCCCATGATGGGATCAGATGATTATATTTTGAGCAGGCAATCTGTTGAAAGGGAGTTTCCCTAGGGGTGTAGCCTGCTTCCAGTACATCCAAGGACATCCTGGGAAGAGAGACATTCTTCTGTGGATCAGAATTCTGTTGTGCTGTCTACAACTGTCGGTGAGTGAACAGTCCACCATTCATCCTGGCGATCTTGGATTCGTCATTCCTTGGAGTCAACAGCTGTTGTGTCCTGCCTGCCAGCCTTGAGCTCCTCAGCTCCTGGGCCTGCAAGAGTTGGGAAAAGCCTCCAGCTTGACATTGGATCCAGGAACTTTGGACTT